ATCTGTTTCCTCGATCTACTATTTCTAGCTTCCTGCCTCCAAGAGGTTTCTGAATCGCTTGTCTAATCACACAGGGCAAATTCTGCCTTCTAGTGTGGATCCTGGACTCCTGCTGAAATCAGACCACATTGCAATAGCTCACTGGTGGGCAGAATTAGCCACTAAGAAATAGTTTTGGAAACAAGTCTTCTTGCTATTCTGGAACCTAACTAGCTAGTACTAATTTCTGTTTTGTTTTGAGTTCAAAAGATTCTGTTTATGGAACTTGAATACAGTTAATACTATAAATAGGCAGAACTACAAAGTGCTGGAGACAAAACTAGATTCTGTTGGAAAACCTTTGATCTGCATTTACATTTGCTTTTTATTTTTATCTACTGCTTGAACATCTGAAAAACTGAAGTGGGGAAAGAGGACAAGGACTTGGAAAATAACTGTTTTCTGAACATTTCAGGATGCTTCCCAAAAGCCACTGGACTATATAAGAGTTGGACGATGGATCTTGTTGGTTTATGTTTCAAAGGAAAAAATAACACACATGCAAAGGACAGACAGTATATCTTTTTAATGTGGTTTTATATACCACGTATTAACTTGCAGTATGAATACAGTATGATTTATTCATACTTAATTCAACAAAATGCTTAGTTTTTAGGCATGTTTCACTCTTTGTGACCCTTTTTGACAGAAATACTGAAGTGGTTTGCTATTTCCTTCTCCAGCTCATTTTGCAAATGAGAAAACTGAGGCAAACAGGTTAAGAGACTTGCCCAGGGTCACAGAGCTAGCAAGTATCTGAGGCCAGATTTGAACTCAGGAAGTTGAGCTTTCCTGACTCCAGGCCCAGCATTCTATCCATCATGCCTCCTAGCTGCCCCACAATGACCTTCAGCAATCACCTGCAGGATAAAATACAAACTCCATAGAGTGGCATTTAAGGCCTGTGACAACATGGCTCTTGCCTACCTTTCCAGACTGATTTCACATTATTCCCATTCACAAATTTTATGATCCAGACAAATTGTATTGGCAAGTTAATTGTTCTCCAAACTCAACACTCTCACCTCTGGATCTTTGCACAGACTATCTAGGACCATTTACCTGGAATACAATCTCTCCTAATTTCCACCTCTCAGAATCCCTGTCTTCCTTCAATCTCAGCTCAGGGAAGTTCCCCCCTAATTCCCTGCCTCTCTCTTTTTTCTCTCTCCTAAACTTTCCTGATATCACAATCCATTCTTCACTCTCAGGATACTAGCTTCATGGATTTTTGCCATAATAGGAATTTTTTTTTCATTTTTTCTTCTTTTTTAAGCTGTATTTCCCATGGCATTCTATTTTTCACTATATGAACCACTTTTTAATCATTACAAACTCTTTCCTTCAGAAGGTAGGTTTTTGCTTTTCATGGTGTTGGGGAGGCAAGTATCTGTTCCCTGAGGTCCTTCACAGCTCACCCTCTCATCTTGTCTGCCACACTTGCTCACCTTTCTCCCTCCATGGCTTGTTTCACTGACTCTTCTCAGGATTTTGTCACTCAGGACCCTTTTCTCATCATATTAACTACACCCAACAACTTTCCTTCATACTGCTCTGTTATGTGCATTATCACCTGATGGATAGTTTTTACATATTGGATTTATAAGGCTCAAACAAGATAATGTATGTAAAGCATTTTTCAAATTTTAAAGTATAATACAAACGCTAGCTATTTGCATGGACTGTTTAAAATGACAGAATAAAAGATGATATTAGGTTGGTTTTCTGCTTAGCTTATTAACAGTTTTTCCCCCCAGTACTTTTGACTTTTCTTGGTTATTTCAAGAATCCTTACAACAACCCAATGAGGTAGGGACCCAACTATTATAAAGACTATATTAACATATATAAATATCACTAACGCATATTGATCTTCAACACCCTGAAATAAAGAATCTGCTACATGAACAAAATTTATACATAGCTTCAGATTGTAGGATGATCACAAAGAACAAGGAGAAAATTTCTGACCAACCCACCTCCTATTTTTCTCTAACAATTATGAATTGATCTCTAAAATCTCTACACGTTACATCATTCTATGGTCCTCTGATACTGCGAAGATTTATAATCAATGATTATAACAGAAGGTAGACGCTGGAATCAAGGAAATAGGCAACAGAATGACAATCAAAAGCTAATATTTAGAAAACAAATGGACTATGGAGATGAAATTAAGAATACTTCAATATGGCACTCTACCTATCAGCTAACAGATATGATTAATCCCTTCAATGCTGAAGAGTGCAACCCATTCATGTCTGCCCACAGTGAAAAGAAGAACTCTTTCATGTTCTTCTGTAAGTTTATCACAGGGACTACAGACAACCTGCTAGGGGTATTTGGCCCTTTCTCCTAACATAGTGAGGTTGCCAACAGAGCACATAGCCTGAACAGCATTTACTCTAGCTCAGTGCTTATGTGAGTATATGTTTCTTTGATGTGATCCTCTATACCATACCTCTCTTATGTACTTAATTGTCTGCTTGTAACATGTTGCAGTCTGATCACCCCAACTAGACTTCTTTTAATTGTCCTCTGGATAATCCTCAGTTTCATTTCTTCAGACTATAAATGTCTCAAATGACATCACCAAAAGAATACTGGTATTAAAAACCGTAAGCCCTTCTTTTTCCTCGGGGGACATTTAAAAAACTTCATTTTCTAAATGGCACTAGATTGCCGCCTCCTCCTCCTTCAATTCTGAGCCAAACTTACTATCTATTTGCAGTGGTTGTCCAAGATATATAATTTGAGAAAAATCTCTGTAGGTTGTTCAGATAACGGAAATCATAGTCTACAAAATAAGTTTTCTTCATCCACATGATTTCTTCTGTGTGGGTAGTTAATCCAAACTCCAAATGGAGTAATCATAGATATCAATTAGGAGGTTCTGCAGAACTAGAGTTTGGTGCAATGAGTACAATGATATCTACAAACAGGAAAGGGAAGGGGGAAGGGATTAAGCATTTACATAGCACCTACTACATGTCAGGAACAGCACTAAGTGCTTTTTACAAATATTATCTCATTTACAAATATTGTCTTACAAATCGTATTTGCCAAGTAAGATGCAAACAGCAGGATCTGTAGGCCCTCACCATATATAGGAATGATGGTGGAGAACCATTCTTTGATTTAGACTCTGCACTAGATCTCCTTTTCGAAAGTGGCAAATACTTTTGGTGAGAATATATCTCCCTGTTTTATGCCTCACTTGATATTAATGATCAGTGCTGTTAAACAAGGTTCTTTTTTCTCATATCTTTTAAGAAGCAATATAATCTTGGCATATGCATGGGTGACACCTTACTGAAGGAGAACCTTTGAAGCAATATTTTGCTCTAGTGAATCAAATCCTTTTTCATAGTCAACAAATAATATTCACTTTTATGCAAACAGTGTGATCTTGTAATCTCTACATCTTTCAGTCAAGTGTGTAGAGAAGTAGTTTACCATGGAATGCTGCTTGTAAAAGATGGCCTACTTCTTTCTTCTATGCATATTAAAGATGCTCTTTATACATGTATAGATTAGTCTGATAAAATTTTCATATTAATAGGGAATCAGACATATGGATAGTGAAATTCTACTTGATTGCTATACCAACCCCCCCCGTTTTTTTTTTGGAAACAACAAGGTCCACAATTTTCCCCTCCACTACTTTGCCTGCAGAACAGACCTCCTTTGCAGACACTGTCTAAGATGGCTGCTTTCCCCACATTTTTTGCCTTCAGTGTCATTTATACTTACTCATGAAACATCTCCTGGACAACGTACATGGAATCCAAATAGCGGCTTTACTGTTCTTGATGATAAAGAGATTATTGTTGTTGTTATCACCATTATTATTATTGTTGTTGTTGTTTTAGCTTGGTGACACAATGGATAAAGTATTGGACCGAGAGTCAAGAAAACCTGAGTCTAAAAGTAGTTTCAGATGCTTACTGGTCGTATGACCTTGTCCTCTGTCTACGTAAGTTTCCTCATCTACCTCCAAGGTTGTTGTAAGGACCAAATTAAGTAATATTTGTAAAGCACTTTGCAAACTTTAAAGTATTATATAAATGCCAGCTATTGTTATTATAAAAATTTTTGCAGATCCTGTTCCATCATTCGTCCCATTTCTAGCTTCATCCTTAAATGTCCTCAGGGTGACTTTGTTTAGTTGGTTCACTCACCAAGCATTCTTTTATGTGGATTCCCCCTTCCATTGCTAGTCACTGTTTTATAAGATGATATTTTTCACAACTTTCTACCATTCTTCCTGGTAAAACTTCACAAGAGAGTTCATATTCTACACTAGAAACATCAAACCTGCAGCAACACTCCCCACTGCAGCCTGGACCAGATTAAAATTTAGTTGGGAAATATTTAACAAAATAAATAAAAATACAATAAAGCAAGATAACGTTACATTTTAAAACTAAGGCAATATATACAGCCCACAGAGATCCTTATGTAGAGGGTAGTGTCCCCCCACCCCTTTTTACTGGAGTTTGATGTCACTATTCTACAGCAATGTTAACATTAGCTGCCATGTCTCTGGTACTTGGCAAGTAAGTCAAGTATTTCTGATTATACAAATTTTAAGGCTCTTTTGTCTTTTTAGTATAACAACTGATTTATGACAGTTAAACTTTTTATGAAATCGTTATAGTTGCTGTCAATGTCCTTTTTGTTCTGTCCATTTCCCTCTTTTTTGGAGTCAATAACTTGTTTAAATAGTCAAGTTTGAGTTGTTTTAATTGTACAATGTAACCTTTCTAAATTTGTATTCTTCTAGCTTTGCGTTAATTTTGATCTTTGCTGTAAAAAGATAGGAATTTGTCTTTACACAGCTGGTTCAGGAATGACTCCATCAGAATGGGTTATTTTCTATTAAAATATAAACAATTTCACTTTAAAAAGTATTGTTTGGTGTTCAACATGTCCAGTACCATTTGACTCTTTTCTTACAGAAAGTATTCACATGATATAGATATGAGGATTCTGTGGAGTCTTAGGAATATTCTGAAGATCACCCAGCAAGAAAAGGCACCAGTGCCTCTAAGGTCCTTTCTCGAGCTGAACTGCCAAGCATTCAAACTCTACTGCAGAGAGCACAACTCTGAGGGGCTGGCCATGCTACTGGAATGTCAAATGTATGCTTGCCTAAAACACTATTTTACAGAGAACTCACACAAGGCAAGTGCTCACATGGGGTCAGAAGAAGCAATACAAGGATACTCTCAAGGTCTCTCTGAAGAACTTTGGTATGGATTGTGAGACCTGAGAGACACTGGCATGGGACTGTACAGCATGATGTGTCTACTTTAGAGAAGGTGTGTGCTCTATGAGCAAAGCAGAAATATATAATATGTAAATATATAGAATATCTAGAAATACATAATATAATTTAACATATTATAATATATAGAAATATAATATAATATAATATATTATGATATAATACATACAAATATATAATGCAATATGATTTCAAAAGAAATATAAGATGTGCAACTTTAGAGACATCTCCCTCTCAAATGGTCATATGCAGTAGAGCCTTCCAAGCTCCTATTGGCATGATCAGCCACAGCCAGACACACTGTCCACTGACCCTAACATCATGTTGTCATTTTGGTCCTGTTTGAGCAAGAAGGACAAACAACAATAATGTCTTAAGCCACTATCATTCCTTACTTCTAAACCACATTTTTCATCATATTCATCTATACTCATTTTTTAAATGAAGCCACAAAGTATATCAAGGAATATTTTTATTTAATTTAGAGGATTTTTAATTTACTTGCTGAATTCTTAATGGAATTTCTCTACCTCTTTACCCTTTGCAACAGAAGTTAGTGTATAAGTTTTTGTAAAAAGACCACCATGAAAATAATTATCATGAGTACTTCACTGTCAGATAAAAAAGTCCCATGAAATTATGCTTCCTGCTGCATGGTAAAAACCAACTCTGCCAACTCCTTTATTTGATGAGAACTTATGGACTATTTAGCTGCAATTTCATGCCTTTTATTTTCAGTTACATAAAGCAAGAATACTGATTGTTGCGTCTGATTCTTTGTTTCTGTTCTCACAGCTACTGTGTTAATTCAGGTCATCTCACCTAGATTATTTTAATGGCCTCCCAAATGGCTCCCTGACAAAAAGACTCCACACTCCAGTCTGTCCCACATGCTGTTGCCAAACTTTTTTTTTAAAGCACAAATGTTACTGTGCCACTCCCATGCTCAATAAACTTCAATGGCTCCCTATGGCCTATAGGATAAAATAAGCAGTCCTTTATATGTATATAAATTTATATCTACATAAAGCTCTTCACAATCTAGGCCTAACTTAATCTTTCTATGTAATGCATTATTTCCTTTCATGCTTCCTATACTCCAGTCAAATTGGTCCTCTCTCTGTTTCTCACAAATGGCACTCCATCTCTGTCTCTCTGCCCCTGCATCTGTCATTCTCCATGCCTATGATGTACTCCCTCCTAACCTCTACCTCACAGAATCCCTCTCTTCTCAGAGGGGATTCTCAAGTATAATCTTCTACATGAAGCCTTTCCTTAGCCCTTGACTACTAGAGCTCTCCCTCCCAAACTATCTTGTATTTAATGGCTTTATATGGATTCTGTATATTCTTATATACATACTTGTTTCCAGCATTAGCCCCTTGAGAAGTTGGTATTTTTTTCCACCTTTTGTATTTATATCCCCAGTGCCTACCATGGGTATATGGAAGGCACTTAATAAATGCTTGTTGATCAACTAATTTTAGTCAGTGTATTGCTTCAGCCAGGCATTTGAATTTTATATATTTTATCTATAATTGTGGGATAAAAGGTTTCTCTCTTGTTAGAGAGGTTTTAGCCAGAAACAACTGAGGAGACAGTCAGGGTGGGAGCGAGGGAGTCTCAAATCACTTTATGTTTACTGGCAAGGCCAGCCTGTGAAGGTCAACAATTTAGACATGGTAGCATTCCTGGGTTACAAAGGAGTCTGAAGGTATAGTCTGTGGTCCCTCCATCGCTGGGCTGCAGGATGAGATACTGTCAGGGAATGCTATGACTAGAGGAACCAGTGAGCCACTCACTGGCTTTTTCAAATAAACAGAGACCCAGAAGGCTGCCCCACCTCCAAAACGTAATCCTTTCCTTCATTTCCTCCATTTTTTTTTCTTCCAGAATCCTACAATCTCTAATATAGAAGATAAAAGGCAACTTACTAACTGGAGATAGCTGCAGTTTACATACCAACACCTATTGGAAAGGATGGAAAAGAAAGATCTTTAACAAAGAACCTGACATGATTATCCAAACCAAACAATTTGACAATACCCACTACAGTGTCAATAGGTATCTTGATACTCAAAAGATATAAAGGAGCAGGATGAAAACTATGTTGGGAAGCAGACTTCAAGATTAAGAAATGAAAAAGACTTAAAAACTAAAAGTCTATGTATCATGAATAATTCCCTGAAGAAGAAAGTTGGAAGGCATTGGATATGGGAAACAATGACCAAAACATTAAAAATAAAAGCTCTTATCTTGACAAAGAGGAAATGACTGGTTACAAAGGTTGGAATCATTTCAGAATCAGCTGCCTGTGGGCAGTCAGCCTGAAATGTTAGAACAAAGGTCAAAGTAAATACCAGTTAGAAGAAAGCCTGAAATGAGAAGACTGTTTGAAAATGCTGCAAGTTCCACCCAGCTTGTTTACACAAGCAGTCAAGTTTAAAAAAAACAAACAAAAAAATCCCACCCCAAAACAAAAGTGGACAAAAATTTTTAAAAACTGACTAGCACCATTTAAAAAAAAGTTTTACACTGATGTAACACAATCATAATAAAGGGCCTGGAAACCACTTTAGTCAGCACCTGTGAGATATATACCAGAGAGATAATAGCTACAAAAGGCAAGGCTGGATTATAAATTCTTTTGCAAAACATTATACTGGAAAATTACAGGAATTTATTAGCAGCATTGCCTCACAAAACAGGGAAAAGCTGTTAAGGAGAAAACAAATCTATAGAATACCTAGTAAGAAATCTAGCCAGCCAGGTAGATCGTCCTGAGAACATGTGTAGACAGAACTAGAACAACAACAGGCTGAAAATGGAAACGGATCCGCTGGCATATCTAGAGTGTTTGATTGCTCTGTCAGTGACAACAATAGAACTACCATATTTTAGGGGGTTTCCCTACCTTACTGTACCATGTGATGATGAAGATGAAGCTAGGAATTGTCAATTTTTATTTTTAAATATTTCTTACATTTACATCACCTTCATTTCTGAATGCATTCCTCCTCCCTCCCCTACTCAATAAGCCATCCTTTGTAAGAAAGAGTAAAAGGGAAAAAATAGTTCAACAAAACTATCATATAAACTAAATCTGACAATATATTTGGTTTTTCCCACTCATGGTCCTCCTACCTCTGCAATGAGGGAGGAAGGGGAATTTTATGATAATTATCACCTATACCAAGGGCATCCTTGATGAAAACATGAGAATGGAAGGGCAAGTTTTCACAGATAATTTTCCATGGCAGATTACATACATTCAATCACACAAACTGACTTAGAGGTAGAAAACATAATTCAAGATGTTTATTTGATGATTTGTGGAAAAAAGTTCATAAACTTAGGAGATAGAATGAAATTTAAAGGCTTTTCTCACAGCATCTTCTGTTCACATGTTAAAATTATATAAGATTTTATGGTGGGAATAACCATGAAAATAACTTTGTTCAGTAACTTGCTGAGTATAGATATGAAGGCAAAAGATATATGTTCACCTATGGAATTTTGCTAGTTATCATGAAGACTTATACAAAGTACAAACAAAATAAAGATTTTGTATAAATGGTTATTGTTTAGTCTTTTCAGTCGCATCTGACTCTTTGTGACCCCATTTGGGGTTTTCTTGGCAGAAATACTGGAGTGGTTTGCCATTTTCTTTTCCATCTCATTTGACAGACAAGGAAACTGAGGTAAACAAGTTTAACTGACTTGCCCAGATCACACAGCTAGTAAGTGTCTGAGTCCACATTTGAACTCAGGTCTTCCTGACTTCAGGCTTGGTGCTCTCTTTACTTCACCACCTAGCTGCTCTCCTCTAGATGCTAAGTACCATGTTCTAAATGGTACCATTTGGAGAAGACACTATAATAATTACAGTCTCTTATCATCTCTCACCTAGACCATTGCAATTATCTCCTAATTAGTCTTTTCATCTTCAATTCTCTCTCCACTCTTAACCCGTCTTTTGTTTAGTAGCTAAACTAATTTTCCTAAAACATTGGTCTGACCAAGTCACAAAAAGCTCAAAATAAATAAATACTGAATAAACTGCAGTGGCTCCAGAATTGAATGTAAAGCCAACTGTTTGGCATTAAAACTCTTACAACCTGGTCCCTTCCTCTCTTTCCAGTCTCCTTACACATCACTGTCCTTCATACGCTCTACAGTCTGGCTAACTTGGTTTATTTTCTGTTTTTCACAAATGATACACTATTTCTGTATTTTTGTTCAAGATGTCCATTTCCTCCCTCCACTCCACCCGTTGGAATCTGTGGCTTCCTTTCCTGCTATGCTCAAGTGCCACCATCAGTCTTTCCTAATCTCTCCAGAGCTAGTACCATCCTCCCTTAGGTTACTTTTTGTCTACTTTGTATCTTATATTTACCTATTTATGTACATGTTGTCTTTCCAATAATAATGGAAGTTCCTTGAGAGCAGAGACTGTTTTTTGCTTTTTCTTTGTATCTCTAGCACTTAGCACAGTGCCTAGCACATAGTAAACATCAAACTAATTATTTGCTTGCTGATTGACTGATTGACTGATTCAGCCCCAGATCACTCCAAAGCCTACTCAGTAAATTCCATAATGACTTGAGATTACTTTTTAAGTGTTGACCATAAAATCAAAGTGAATGAAAAATGCACATTGCCCAGGCTATGAAATGTAGTTGAGCCTGACTCAGTTCATCAGTAAGTCTTCCTTGAGGAAGCTTAGCAGACAAACAGTAACAGGGCTCCAGAACTGAGTTAGAGGAGGACATTTGGTCAAACTGCATTGGGAAACTGCACGGTGCTTTCAGTGATCCAAAGTTCTTCATTACTTTAAAAGTCTAGTGTTTTAATTTCACCGAGTGATACTTCATTATGATGATATATGAGTTATAGCCATATCAAAATGATTCAATTCAAATCAAATCTTATGATCATAGATTTATAGCTGGAAGTGGCATCAGAGCCATCTTATCCAATATCTTAATTTTCAGACTAGAAAACTGAGACCCAAGGAAGATAAGGGACTTGACCAAGGCCACTTGAGTACTAGGCACCAATATGGGATTTGAACCTAGATCTTCTGGCTTCAGACAGTTGGTCTCTTTCAATTCAACTGAATTCAAAAAACCTTTATTTAAGAGCCTACTACATACCAGGCAAAATAAAAAAGGTCCTTCACCTCAAGGAACTTAGGCTACTTGGGGGGTGGGGGTGGAGATATGCACACAGATAACAAAATGCAAAATGCATAGAAAATAAACTGGAAATAATTTTAGGCAGTGGGAGCAAGTGCTAACAACTAGGAGGACCAGGCAAGATTTTCTGTAGGGTGTACTGGTGACATGAGAACAATTACAGCCACTTGGACTGCAGGGCAAAATAGCGAAGGGGAAAAACCTTCCCACATCTCTTTCTGGTCCAATTGCTCCATATTTTCTCCCATACCATTCACATTCTTTTAGCATAGATCTTTCAGCTAGTTGTTAGATGAGACAAAGTCTTACTCCAGGATTCACTTTGGCACAGATGTGTCTGGTTTCTCAAAGGCTATTCCTTTAAAAGGCAAGTTCTGACAGATTATACCATGCTGGAAAGGCTATGAGTCTAGCCCCAGCAACAGACTATGTCCAAGGGACTAACCTAGCTAAATAAAGAGATCCATCATAAGTAGGCTGGCCATTAAATGATTAATTCTTTGGCCATGGCAACCTATGAAACAAAAAAATTTTTTTTTCAAAGGTTCTCAGTCAGGCAGTACCACTCTGTTTCCACAGTAACAGTGGTAGAGTGGCATAGCAAGGGGCAAAGAGTCCTGCAATTTTTAGACTGTCTCTAAAAATTAATTTAACTGCAGATCAAAGACGGATAAAATCCTTATCCAATGACTAGTGAAGTGACATGCTATTAGAAGAAGTGACCCATATCAATGCATCTGATATTCTTGCGGTAAAAGCAGAAGGCAAAAGAAGATAGTAGCTAAATTGAAGGCCAAATTGTCTTTGGAGTCGCCAACAAAGGATTTGGTAGAGATGGTTTTGGCCCAATCACAAAAAAAATCCTACTATACTGTGGGCACACTTGTCATCTTGCTTTGCAGTACTAGTGACAAGCATAAGCAAAAAGACCCACTGTGAAGATAATTTAAGTTTATGTGGCAAAAAACTATCATGAAGAATGAAGAAGAAGAATTGAACAAAATAATCTACACTAAGTTACCATATTCTTAAGACCTCAAAACCTAAATGTGAAGGTGGCCATAAGGAAGAAGAGCAAAAAGTATGTTGGAAAAAATATGGCTCAGGTTTAGAAACCAGAGGCCTAAGGCTAATAGGTTATTCAGAACGTGTATATATATATATATATATATATATATATATATATATATATATATATATATATATATATATACACACACACACATATACACCTATGTATCATGAATCCTTTCTTCTGGAGAATATACCAGAAACATCACCATCGTCATTATCATCACCATCACCACCACCACCACACACATGCACGCGCATGCACACACACACACACACACACACACACACACACACACCCTGACTAGATTGATAGAAAGACCAGTTAATTACAAGGGAGTCATATCAGTCAGTTATCTGGATGCAATTAACTACCTAGGGCAAAAGTTAAAAACAACATTTAAAAAGTGAAACAAAAGGATCTTTCAGCAATGCAACAACTTCAATCTGACCTAAAGAAACAAGTCATCAAATCTGAAAATGAAAAATGGTAAAGGCAATAAGGTTGACCTTAATTATCAAAAATTTTCTGCAAAAGTTTAGCTGATGTAAAGCACTTGTCATGGCACAGAGCCCAAGAGAACCCAGAAATCTCCTCAGATGGCTAACATTTGACCTCCTTGTCAAGAACAGAGACACATTAATGAAAGAGAACACTATCTTAAAATATAAGCTAATTTCAAAATATTGAGGTTTAAGGTGGCTAAAATTATGAACAAAACAGTGAAAAGCAGTTGAAGCAAACCAACTCTATAGAAAACTTAGCATGAGACCCAACTAAGCCATTATCACCCTCTGAATAGTTACAGATCAAACTGGCAGAGGGACAACAAATACATGAAAACTTATTTGTCTTTATTTATAAAGTTATAAAATTTATATGTCTTTCTAAAATTACATATTTTAATAATTAGTAATAATAGAATCACCAGACTTGGACCTTAATTACAATTTCTGATGCCTTGGTCAAAGAAACTGAAAAGGCACACAGGAAGACAAAATTGAGAAGAATGTTTGGACCACACCACTGTATTTACACACAAAGGAAATTTATGTTGGAGGCAAGACACATTTTTAAAAGCACTAAGGGATTATTTTTATAAAATATCTCAAGGATAAGAAGTTGAAAAAACAAAATGGAAAAAAATAATAGTATTAGCCCCCCCCCACAATATGATAAAGAACAGTTAACAATTAGTGACAATGTTTATTGTTCTCTCATTTTTAGAATACATTTGTCAGACATCTTTCAGTTATTAAAGAATTCAGTTAGGAGTAAAGTACTCTGAATAAAGTAATTAATACTAAGTTATGAATGGATAAGTTTAACCTTCACAGTGAATATTTGCATCAAAAAGAGATCATCAATTCAAATATATCCTCAAATTAGTAGAAAAGGGGAAGGGAGGAATGGGAGAAAAAAAGGAGAGGAGCTCAAGCAAGAACCCCAAACAAGTTGCATAACTTTGCATCTCATTTCTAAATGGTTGCTTACCTCCAAACTATACCAACTACAATAGAAAGGAAGCCGTTTCCACAAAGTATAATAGCACAGTGAAGTAAATCAGCAAGGTTTTATTCGAGTGAATTTGCTCTGTTAATTTAACTCAATTCTTTAAGCTAAGTATTTAGGCACCATGGATCTCCAATGGAATATATGCAACTTCCCATGCTGACATTTAAATAGCAAATTCTCAAACATACATCTTGTTCTGAATTCATATAGGACATAAGC